GGACGGCCCAAAGCTTTGGGAACCTGTACCCGCGTGGGAGACCCAGAAGAGGCTCCTGGCTTCGGATTGGCATAGCATCAGCCGTTGTGGTCACTTGGGGAGTAAACCATCAGACAGAAGATCTTCCTCTCTGTCTCTCCTCTCTGTATATCTGCCTTTCCAATAAAAATAAAAATAAATCTTAAAAAAAAAAAACTAATTTTGCATGCCATTAAATCTGTCTTGCTTAGACTTTGTTCAAGTCCACCTCCATCATGCTTTCTTTAATTCTGTAAGTCGAAACATCCCGCACAGGCTCTCATGTTCTGGTGGCTCCACTTCAGATCCAACTCCCTCTTCATGATCGGGTAGAGTAGCAGCAGGTGACCCAAGCATTCGGGCCCTTGCGCCCAGGTGGGAGAGCTGGATTCCGCTCCAGGTTCTGGACTTGGGCCTGGCCCAGCTCTGGCCACTGCAGCCCTCTGGGCAGTGAACAAGCAGATGAAGATCTCTGTGGCTCTCCTCTCTCTACTCTTTTCAAATAAACAAATGCACATTTAAAATAAACAAACACTGAAAACCTTGCCTGCAAGAGTGACTTGTAAATCTTTTCTCAAAGCCACTTGTCACAAAACTTTGTTTACAGAAGATTTTACTGTATGTTTCATTACCTTGTATCTCTATAGAATAAGATGGGTCTGGAAAATTACAAAATTTGAACTGAAATTTGACATTAAATTTTAACAACACTTACCATGTTTGTGGACCATGCTGTCAATACTGAAGCGATGTTCAGACTTACAGTGTGAAAAGGTTTCTTCAGCAGATGTGAACAACCTGGAAAAGCAAGCAACAGCTTCAAGAATTGGCCTCTGCAAAGCCTGCCGATTCATGCTAAGTGTGCAGTTTTCTTTTCTTTCAGCTACCTTCTCCTTTCATATTCGGTTACGATGGAACAAACATACTTAGAACAGAAGAACAGAATCCAGCGCTTCTAGGCAGCGATACTACTTCTGGGTTCCACTTTACACATAAGTCAAATTAAATGTGGAAGTCACACACCACATAACAACGCCGTATTCATCACTGGGCTCTGAAGACGGTGCCTTTGGACACTGTTTCTCTCAAGACCTGTCAAGCCCGCTCTCTGCCTTCAAGCTGCTCTTATAAAGCAGGCCTTGGATTCAAGCTTACAGGCCACACATTCCTAAAGGGCCGTGCTTCCAAACTGATACTGGAGTGGTCCCAAAGGATGTGCGTCGCACACAGTGAGGCTCAGCCAAGCCAAGTGACAAGATGAGAATCCAGAGCAGCGTAGCCGCCTACCTCTTCCAGAAGCCAGGAAGACACGGCAGTTAGAAGAACGCGTGTCTGGGAATGACACACACCAGTTTTGTGACCTGGTGCAAGCTACTGATACAGCAGTCTTCTTTTTCCTAAATGAAAAGGGCTTCCGGCTCTTTCTTCTTAACAGGTATCGATACTTAAGAAAGATGAGCAGACCTAAGCAGGCTCAAATGGCAACGCTACACCTGAGCTCGCTAAAGGTCCTATTAGTGAATGCAAAGGCTGGAAGGGCCTTTTCGGGGTTATCTGGTTCAAGTGTGGCTTGCAAAGTAGAAAGTTAGCAAGACTAGATTCACCGGTTAAGACCAGAATCCAGACAGTTCTAGGCCCATCCCCTGATTTAGAAGGACCGAGGTGCAGAGCTCAGCGTGTGTAGCATTAGTAACTGTCTAACAGGACGAGTGGGCACAGCGGACTGAGAAGCACAGGTCCAATGCGAAAGGGTTTGCTCTGGCACAAGGGGCCACTGCGGCCGAGGAAGCAGGCAGGGTGACCCGGCTTCCAGCCCACAGTTCCTGCGGATCTTCTCTGCAAGACCTCACCCCGAACCACGAGTTCGAGAACTCTAGGTGGGTCGCTGTGGTCCGATTCCCGGCACCCTGGCACCGAGGAGGACGAACCTCTCACAGAACAGGCAGGGGGTCTGCTGCTTGTCGTGGGGCAGGTCGGCATCGTCCTCGTCCTCCCAGGCGGCCTCGTCGCCGCTGTCCGACAGCTCGGGCAGGTCCTCGTCCTCGGCGCCCCGGCCGCCTAACACACAAGAGTTAGCGAAGCAGGACACCTGTGCCCCCGGAGGGCAGGCGGACAGGCACTCCCACCCAGCCACCCCTGGGAAGAACCCGCAGCCCCGGCCCGTGCGGCGGAGGGCGCCCTTCTCCCGCCCCACGGCGCTCCAGCCCGCGGCCGGGTACCCACCGACAGCGCCCGACGCCAGCGAGCACATGGCCGAGCCGCCCGGGGATGTAGACCGGCTGGGGAACGCGCGGCCGGGAACGGAGACCGGCTGGGGAACGCGCCCCGGGAGCGCGAGCACGAGCACGAGCACGCGGCCGAGCCTCAGCACCGACGGCTCCGCAGACGGCCGGCACACCAGCGAGAGCGCGCAGGCTTTCGGCCGCTTCCGGGGCCGCGGTGGGCGGGGCGCCAGCCTGGGCCCGCCCCCTCCTGCCGCAGGGCGCTGACGTAGGAGCACGGCGACGCAGGCCTGCAGGAGACGACCGCGGCCTCCCTGAGCGCGGTGGCGGCGCGAGGCCGGAGCCGTTTTACTGACGGAATCCTGTCCTCGGTGCGTCGCTGTTTCCTGGGGTGGGCGCTTGCTTCGTGGCGGAGCGGCCGCCCCACCGCGACCTCTGCTGGCGCAGGAGGCACAATGCCGACTGACAAGGCCCTGGGGAGCTTGTGCAGCTCCTCCAGTTCCCCTGGCTCTGGGCTCGCACTGCACAGCGGAAAGCTGCAAATGGGCCGGGCCTCCTTTAGTCTGAACTGGAAGGTGTTTCCTTAGACCACTCCCTTGCTTTTTAAAGGATTTATTTACTTTTATTGGAAAGGCAGAGTTAGAAGGAGGGACAATGAGGTCCTCTGTTCACTAGTTCCCTCCGCAAACGGGCAAGAGCCGGGCCTGTCTGAAGCCAGGAACCAGGAGCTTCTTCCTGCTCTTCAACGTGGATGCAAGGGACCCAAACACTTGGGCCATCTTTCCCTACTTTCCCAAGTCATTGGCAAGGAGCTGGCTCAGAAGTGGGGCTGGTGGAACTCATAAATATGAGTCCTGCAGGCAGAGGCTTAGCAGGCTGTGCCACAGTGTCAGCCCCAGTACACCACCATTTCTGAAAGAGGGTACCCCCTGTCAGTCCAGGAGCAGGTATGAGCCGCTTACTTGACTGTTTCCACCACAGGGTAAAGGTCCAGTGTTTAAAAAAATACGTGGCTTGGCCCATAAGGAAAGTAGTCCCTTGTATTACTGCTTAGTCTTCCGAATGCATTCCTGTACCTTAACTGGGAACTCCTACGGCATATGCTAAACGATCGAAATGACTGACACACACACAAAAATATATTTTTAGTGTAGAAAAGTCTTACGAAAAAATTGGCTTGCACTTCAAAATCTTTTTGCAACCAAATAAACTCCAACTTTTCATCGCGCTTCTGTGCCACCTTTTTGAAATACCTTCATTATCTTGAAGCCCCTTCCTTCTGTGAGTGTCAGAGTACCTCCCAGCTCCCAGGATGTCTCTGTTCACTGATGTACCCCAATGCCTGGCCCACAGTGGGCATGGAGTAAGTGCTGAGTAAATTCAAGACCATTCATCACCTGGGTCCACATTTCCCTTTCTATTTCCAACATAACTTGTAACCAAGCGCATCTGCTCTGTGTAATGTCTGCAGGGAATCCTGCTGGGTCCTGTGGGAACAGCCAGGCGATCAGTGTTGATACAAGTGGCACCCAGCCTGGGGCTGTTCAGGGCTCAGAAATGGGCCGCTTTTCTTCACACCACAGAGGTGAACACAGGCCCTTTTCCATTGTCCTGCTTCACTTTTGACACAAGACTGAAATACTGAACAACACCTGCCAGAAGGAAACCATAGAACAAGTTCCAACCAAGTTCCAAGATCCAAGTCTATGGGTCTCAGCATGTTCTCATGGGGAACTCCCAAGAGCTAACTCTTCCTGGAAACCAGGCATATTAACAATGGAACACACTTAGGCTCTTCAGAATCCAGCCAGATGGAAAGTGTCCCATCTCCTTATTACAAATCATTCCAAAACCCCACCCTGCACTAGAATACACCATTTTTCTGGATAACTGAAACTGGGGGATTAGAAATATCCACTCCCTTTTAAGAATATGTGCCCTATTAAGGAGGGTAGCTTTTGTCTTCTGGTGTCCATTGCTGCTTTAAATGTACTTCGCGAGGGCTGGCGTTGTGGCACAGCACAGTCAGCCTCTGCCTGTGGTGCTGGCATCCCATATGAGCATTGGTTCAAGTCCTACTTGTGCCACTTCTGATCCAGCTCCCTATTAATATTCCTGGGAAAGTAACAGAGGATGGTCCAACTCCTTGGGTCCTTCAACCCATATGGGAGACTCAGAGGAAGCTCCTGGCTCTGCCTTCAGATTGGCTCCGCTCCAGCCTGTGTGGCAATTTGGGGAGTGAACTAGCAGGGGAAACATTTCTGTCTCTCCTTCTCTCTCTGACTTCCCAATAAAAATATTTTTTAAAAAGTTAAATGTTCCTGGCATACTGTGGACCCCACAATTGACTGTGTCATTCTAACCACTTTGTCTCCCCTGGCACAGATGCTAAGACATGTTTCACGACTATCCTTGGTTCCACGATGGAAAATAGCACTGTGTGCTCCTCGTGCCACTGGATCTTCCTTCCACGTGCTTCTTTTTAACTATTATTTATTTGAACCTCAGAGTCAGACACAGAGAAATCCTGCATTTGCTAGTCTCCTCTCCACGTATCCCCAGTAAATGGAGCTGGGACAAGGATGAAGCCGAGCTGGTGTTGAGGCCCAGAACCCCCTGTGGATGACATTAACCCAGCTACTTAAGCCATCGTCTGCCGCCTCCCAAGGTGCCTATTAGAATAAAGCTGCACTGGAAACAGAGCTGGATGTAACTAGCAGAACATTTCGTGATTGCCCAGAAGGATCTCAGACCAATGGAGAAGCCCAAATATTCCAATTTATTCATACATAAATGCATTAACAGTTAACTGGAATCACTGAGGATGTTCTTGCAAAGTACATAAAAACAGACGCTATGCAATCAAGCTGGCCTGGATTAGAACCCCGACTCTCACATTCCCCAGCTCCCAGGTGTCAGCTTTGGCCCTTATGCCAGGAACTGCCCACTCGGAGCCTGTTTCTCTACCTCAGACAGAAGGTCAGCGACAGAATCATTTCATGTGAACTGACAGATAACCTATGCAAAAGCTGAAACTTAGCAAGCACTTAATACTAAAGGCAATTTTATCACCACGAGTACTTGGACATTTTCAAACACTCTATAAAGCACCTAAGATTTGTCCATTTGTTCCTCTATTTCATTTTCCCCTGAATTATATAAGCTTAGTCATCCCATTCATGATATATTCTGAAGTCCTTGTAAAGGCACAGTGTCCACTTCCACAGTGAACATGTTGTTCATTAGCACTGAGGGAACCCAAAGAGCAGCATGTCACCAGTTTTAGAACATAGCTCATTTGTGTGGTAGGTAAGGTTAGAGGGATGCGGGGACTCTGCAGACAAATGGTTTCTCCACCACCAGCAGCAGAACACCAGCAGCAGTTTTAACAAAAGCAAAGGATGTATTCTGGTGTTCACATCCCAGACCTTCTGATCTAGGGCCTAGGAACCTCTATTTTCTATAGCTCCCTGGTGAACTGTCTGTACAGCCAGACTCTGAACCATGGAGGCAAAGCACAATAATATTTTGCTTGGATCAGAGTATCAGAATAAATGGCCAAGTTAAGGCATGCTTTTTTCAGACCCTGAAATGACCGATTTAGCACTGAGTATAGAGAAGAACAGTAAAGTGTGCTTCTCCACGGTGCTCTGGGCTAGAGTGAGCCACTGGCCTTGCCCAGGTCATGGATGCCCTTGTTTTCCAGAAGTTCCACCTTCTTGTCACTTGGCCTCACCATGTTGTTTAGCATCGCTCTAGCCACCATCACCACAGGTACAGAGTGCCCACGGGCCCAGGAGTCTGGTAAAGAACCGAAGAACTTCCTAACCACCCATTCAGCCGGACGAGACTCTTGCCTGTCACATAATAGGACTCTAAAGAGAGAAAAAAAAAAGCAGAGGAAAAGATAGTAACTTGCATTCAGACCACATTGGGTTTTGTGAACTGACCTAAAATTTGTATGCTGTACCTCTAACCCCCAATGTCAGGGCTAACTAAGGTTAAACAATGATGCCTCTTCTAACTTGTTTTGTGTTGCTCTATCAAAATAACTAAGGGAGCGTACTTGAGAATAAAGAAAATTGTTTAGCTCATGTTTCTGTCGGCATTCAAGGGCATGGCACCAGCGTCTTTTCAGCTTTGGTGAGGGCCTCATCATGGTGGATAGGGTCCCAAAGTGAGAGTGCCTGTAAGGGTGGCAAGGAGGGACAGGCATCGTGGTGGCCGGGAAGCTGCCACCAGCAGCGCTGCATCTGTGACATGTCCAGTCCTGCCTGACCCCACTCCAGCTCCCTGCTAATGCACCAGCAGAAAAGGCTTCAAGTGCTAGGATTCCTGGCACCTATGTAAGGGATCCAGATGGAGTTTCTGGCTCCTGGCTTCATCCTGTCTCAGAACCAGTTGTTGCAGCCAATTTTGTGAAGCAAACAGTGAATGAAATCTCTCTCTGTCTCTCCCTCTCTATATGCAATTCTGCTTTTCAAATAAATAAACCTTAAAAAAAAAAGAGTGGCAAATGATGCAAGCAGACAAGTTCAAGGGGTCCACCAGGCTCGCTTTTAACAACCATTTTGTTGAGAACTAATCCAGCCCAAAGCTTCTTACGGTGATGCCCCGATGACCTAACAGTGACCTCTAACTAGGTTTCATCTCCCTTGTTATTCTTTAAAATTTGTATTTATTTACTTGAAAGGCAGACATGGAGACAGAGACAAAGCTCTTTCTCTTGCACTGGTTCACTTTGCAACTGTGTACCAGCTAGGACTGAACTAGTCCAAAGTCAGGATCCTGGAGTTTCAGCAGGTTCTCCTGCTTGAACCATCACCTACAGCCTCCCAGGGTACACTAGCAGGAAGCTGGAATTGGAAAAGGAGAAAAGACTTGAACCTAGGCACTTTGATACAGAGAGCAGACATCCCAAACAGGGTGACATCACACCAAACACCTGATCCAGGGCTCGTCTTTTAAAGGTCTCACCACCTTCAAACTGCCACTTTGGAAGTGAGGCTTCCAATGTGTGAGCCAACAACAGTGAGATCTGGAGGATGGGACAGGACTCGCGTACTAGGAATGGTGTCCTCAGGAGAGGAGACCTCTGTCTCCTCCCTCTCCTCCTACTCCCACCCTGCACCCAACACACAAAAAAAGAGCCTTGTGAAGGCATAGGCAGAAGGTGCCTGTCTGCCCGGGAGACCAGCGCTGACAGTCCCCTGATCTTGACTAAGCCTCCAGACTGAGAACAGAGTCACCTGTGTTCTATTAGGTCAGCCCAAGCTGACCGACACAGTGATACAGGAAGGGACATTTCAACAGAGGGTAGGTAGCTAGTGCTACCCTGAATTTCCAAATTACAGTGCAGCTGCAACCACCATCTACCTGTTCTCTCACATCCAAAGTGAGATCCTTCAGACAAGCAATCCAGCTCCCTCTCATCTGTTTCTTTCACATCTCACAATGTCTCAGCTGGCAACCTCTCCAAATGGAACATCAGTTCCTAGGGACCAATAAATGGTGATGTGCTCTCCAGCAGGAAGAATACTTACCCAGGCCTAAATATTGAGTAACGATCAAATTTTAATTCTTCAACCCTGGCTTCCACTTCTCCCTGTTAAGAAAAATGCACATTTTATGGCTGAATCAACATTAGCTCACTTAGGCTAAACAGGGAGATATTTAGGGTTCTGAAGAGAATAAGCTTCTTCAGGTCTCAAGACTCACAAACATCTTTATCAAAATTTTGGATTCCAAAGAGTCAGACATATTAAGAAAGGAAGAGACCACTCAGTCCTGCTATGTAGAGTCTTTGTCTGAGGATCTACTAGAAAAGTGAATGGCAACACAGCCAAGCTTTTGGCTGACACTGGCCAGATCTACAAAGGGTAAATGACACATTAGTTCAGTCATGATAGAACACCTTCCTTTCAATCTAAAATTAATGGGCTACAAAACAACAGCCTTTACTAGTCTACACTAGTTTTGCTGTGTCTGAAACCCACAAACCCTCTGTGTCACTCAGTTATTTATAAAAAGAAAAGTTTATTGAATTGAAATAGTTAGAGAAAAAGAGAAATCTTTCACTGTACAAACGAACACAGACTGAGGTTGGGCCAGGCTGAAGCCAAGAGCCTGGAACTCCACTAGGAGTCTCCCATGTGGGTGCAGGGTCCCAAGGCTTTGGGCCATTCTCTACTGCTTTCCCAGGCCACAGGCAGGGAGCTGGATGGGAAGAAGAATAGCCAGAGCATAAACTGGCGCCATATGGGATCCTGATACTTCTAAGAAGATTAGTCAAGAGAGCCATCACACCAGGCCCAGAAATTATGTTTTATTGAAATTAATAAGGATATGTATGAAGCATGTACAGTATTGAATGTATATCATGTAAAATTTATATAGATTTCTTCTTAAAGATAAAACAGAAGTCTTAAAGATAAAACAGTGCCTTGCATGCGCCAGCTTCCCATATGGGTGCCGGTTCATGTTGTGGCTATTCTGCTTCCCATCCAGGTCCCTTCTTGTGGCCTGGAAAGCAGTAGGATCCCTGGGACCCTGCACCTGCATGGGAGAGCCAGAAGAAGCTCTCTCCTGGCTTCAGATTGGCTCAGCTCTGGCTATTGTGGCAACTTGGGGAGTAAGCCAGTGGACCGATGATCCTTCCGTCTCTCCTTCTCTCTGGAAATCTGCCTTTCCAATAAAAATGAATGAATTTAAAAGTAAATCTATAAAAAAAGAGAGAAAGAAAGAAAGAAAGTTAAGCTTGCCACTAACAGATGTGTTTAGGTTAGATATCTCCAGATCTCTTGAAAAGCTAATTCTTCTTAGCCATCAGGGAACCTAGGGAGAGGTTTACAAATCACCGTCTCCAAGTCTCACAGTGCCATGTTTGCCTTACTGACCAGAGCTGCCACATCTCATTCCATTAATTACCAAATAATCAATAGAAAGGAAGACACTAGAAATTATCTTTCATATAACGCAAACTTACTAAGTATATTCCTGCAAAAACAATCCTGACAGCTATATATAATGCTAATTTAATGGTTGTCAGCATTACACAGTATTTAGTAATACTCAGACCTGCCAACTGGCAAGGTTCTCCACAGTATAGGAAAAACGGAAATACGAACAAACCTTAACTTGCAGATATAAAAAATTGCTCGACTTATCAGCTCCTTTAGAGGAGAGCAAGTTGAAATGTTTGCACCCTCCGGTTTTTGCCAGTTCTGCAGAGTTCAGCACATAATCCCGGTCCACGCGAACAAATCCCTCCTGTGGGAGAGAAAAAGGTGAGTTACTTCTCAGAAGCTGCAAGTTCATTTTAAGGATTGCTACTCAGCTTCGGTGGCAGACTGGGAGGCCTAAGGGGAGGGGAGGATCTAAATAAAATGCAGCCAAGCAAGACACCGAAGTCAGGCTTAGACCCTGGGAAGTGCTCCAAGTACGGTCCACTGGATCGACACGGAGGCCTGAACAGCAAGGCAAATGGCAATGACCTTACAAGGAGTATGGCACTGAAACATACCGTATGCCCAACCTCACAGAGCAAAGGCACTCTCATGAGTGGACTGGGGCACTCCTTTGAAGTACACATTTATCTTGTAATAATTTTCCAAACTTACAGCCCTCTGCTTCTTTTTCCTTCTGTATCAATATTACAATGGTAGGGTCTCAAAGCAAGGCTAAGGACACTGCCCAAGGCACTAAGAGAGGGGTGGGGAATATCTGAATATTTATGACATCATTTGCAGGGTATACAAAATGATCATTTAAAAAAAAAAAAGATGTCCTTATTTGAAAGTCAGAGTTACAGAAAGAGGACAGAGAGATCTTCCAGTAGCTAGTTCACTCCCAAAATGTCTGCAACATTCAAGGCTGGACCAAGGTAAGCTAGGAACCAGGAGTTCCCCTAAATCCTCTCGCAAAGGGGCAAGGGTCCAAGCACTGAGCCATCTTCCATTGCTTTCCCGGGCCTTCGCAGAGAGCTAGACCAGAAGTGGAGCATCTGGGGGGACTCGAACAAATACTGGTGTCATAGGCAAGAGGTCTGAGCAGTTATGACACAACACAGCACCCCCCAAATTATCATCTTAAAAGCCTGCTATTGATTTACTGAATTTTGAGTCCCATTTGCAGCCAAATGATTTTGTGGGCCTTATATGGTGTGTGGGCTGGCCATTTCCCATCCCTGCCCTAAGAGAATAAAATGCACTTAGTTTTCTGGTTTGGGGGTATGCTTTACAACATACTTTACATATTAGGAAGGAACACATTCTACAGTTTTCTTATTGATGGGTTAATAATAAAACCATGAGCACACAGTCGTGGTCTACATTCAGTTAAGTGAAAACAGTGTCTAGGTCTGCCTTTCTAACTCACATTGCAGCATCAGCAAATGCCCAGAACACAGGAGACACTCCAAAAATACTTCAGTGAATGAATAGAAATCCAACAAAGCAGAGAAATTACTAATCAGAACTAAATGACAATGAAAGGCAGAGGGCGAAGGATGATACAAACAGCAGAAGGAAGATTCCTTTCCAGGCCTGACTGAAGGAACTCAGAGCAAGCAATTCTATGGAGTTTCAAGCGGCTGGACCACCATCAACTGTGGCATCCTCAAACTTGAGACAATTGAGAAGTTTAAAGTCTACTGACAATGAATGTCATAACTGTACAATGAGGTCTTCCAAGTAAGGGATTCTAAAGCTGAGACTGGATTCCAAATACTGCCTGATGATTTTTAATTTGCGTGTGTGTGTGTGTGTGTGTGTGTGTGTGTGTGTGTAAGAGAGCAAGGCAGGGAGAGAAACTCTTGTATTCACTAGTTCACTCGTTTACTTTTCAAATGCCCACAGTCAGTGCTGGGCCAGGATGAAACCAAGAGCAAGGAACTTAATCCAGGTCTCCCACATGTGTGACAAGGACCCAACTACTTGAGGCATCACCTTCTATCTCCTAGGTACACATTAATTGAAAGTTGGAATTCAGAGTGGAGCATGGGGGGCTGGGGTGGTGGCTCAACAGGCTAATCCTCCACTCTGTGGTGCCAGCTTCCCATATAGGCACTGGTTCATGTCTTGGCTGCTCCACTTCTAAGCCAGTTCTCTACCTACAGTCTGGGAAAACAGCAGAGGATGGCCGAAGTCCTTGGGACCACACACTCTCATAGGAGATCCAGAAGAGGCCCCTGGCATCAGATTAGCTCAGCTCTGGCTGTTGCAGTCACCTGGGGAGTGAACTAGCAGATGGAAGACCTTCTCTATCTCTCCTCTCTCTGTAAGATCTGATTTTCAAATAAATAACCAAATAAATAGATCTTTTTTTAAAAAAAGAAAAAGAATAAGCTTGAACTCATCCCAGCTTTTTGAAGTAGAATGCTGGTAGCGTCGCAGTATACTAACTCCTTGCCAGATTCCTACCTCTCCCCAATGATTTTTTTCACTTTATAATTTTCCCTGAGTTAGTTCATGATTCTAAATGTTCTATTTGGTAAGGTGATATGTATCTTTCATAGAAGGTTGGAAAGGACCTTGGGGAATCCACATCCAATTCTCTCCTGATGCAGTTTGGAGATAAGGGCCAGGGACCCGCCACTTGGGAAGCACTGGAGCTAACAGCAGAAAGCCTAGACACTGGAAGGCTCTTTCCTTGCACCCTTGTTCCTTTAGATGCCAATGACTAAAGTGACTGCAAAAATGTCAGGCTACATGGCAAAGGGGTAGTGAGGTTGCTAATCAACCAACCTTAATATAAGATCATTTTAAATTACACAAGTAGACCCAACATAACCAGAAGATCTCTGCAGGTGGAAGGCAGAAGCGGAAGCAGAAGTTAGGTCTAAGTGATGTGAAAAGGACCAGCCTGTGAGACAGAGGAGTGGGACTCTGAGCTGAGGAATGCATGCAACGCATGCAGCTCTAGATGCTAGCGATGGGGATGAAACAGGTTCTTCCTGGAGACACAACAGGGGACACAACCAAAGCGACACCTTGATTTCATCTTAGCGAAACTCACATGAAACTCCTAACCTGCAACACTGTACAATAATACATATGTGTTTTTAAAACAGTAAGATTCAGTTAATTTGCTAGAGCAGCAAACCAAACTAAACAAACAAAAAACCCTAAGTTTCAGCTTTAAACACAACAGGCCCATACACATCATTCTTCAGCTCTGAAATGAAGTAGATCATAAAAGCACACATACTCTAAGTGCAGAACTTGCTGGATTTCAGCACCTGAATGCCCTCTGCAAACACCTCCCAGACACGAAACAGAACACCCTCCTGACCCAAAAAGCCCCACGTCCTCCAGTCTTGTCACTCACCAGTATGTTTTTAACCATATCTACTACTTGCAGGTTCGTGTTACTTTTCTGCTTTACTTTAGGTAAAATAAACTCTCGTCTCCTTACCCATGAATCATCATTTGTGTGCTATCTGCACTGAGTCTTAAGCTTAAATAACTGACTTACTAACCATAGCTACACCCTGTTTCAAATTCACGTTGCTTTTTACCTTGAGGTAAAGAAAAGTAATTTTAATACTCAGCACATTCTAACAGACAGAGAGGTGATTTTTCTCAAGCCTTTCTCCAAATTGAGATCTTAAATGTGCTGAAAGTATGCCAAGAAAACAACTCAAAACTATATAGAGGAATTCTAAAACACAGAGCATTTCACTTTCATGCCCATTTCTTCACCTCCAATTCACCAACAATCTGAAATGGGTTTGCTATTCACAATAAAGTTACATAGTTGACTAGTGAAATAAAATGCTATAGTTTTGTTGGAATCTTGGCAAAATTTTATGGACACATTTATCATAGTTGCTCCTGCTAAAATGCATTTTCTTTCATCAGCTACTTTAAAAATAAGGGAAAAGATTCAACCAATCACAAGTCACCCGACCGACGCTCTCTCCCTCACTTAATCCTAAAGCCAGTAAAGGGATAATTTGATTAAACTGAGACCCTAATTTATTTGGCTTTAGTTCTGGATCAACCTCTCCTTAATAGAGTGCTGCCGTCCCCAATTGTTTGATGAAAATTAAAGTGACATAAATACCATGGGCTCTTTTCAATCTGATTAGTCAGCGAAGGCACATCAATACCACCCCAGCCATCAGACTCTGGCGTCCTTCCTTTCAGCAGCCTCCCTAGCAACTGACAACCGCTCCTTGAAGGAGAAGCGCCCACGCTGCCACAGAGACCCCCACACCTACCCATCATTCCTGTTCAATGGGCCCTCTTGACAAGGTGCCCACACCTTTTTCCATCGCTGTTCTCTGGACAAAGCTAAATATTGTTTTATTAGCAATCAATGGCTGCTAATCCAAAACGATTTCACAAATCCTCTGAGCCCTCAAGCTGATTATAAATACGCATTTTTCCAAGCTCACTAAATTTTGAATTTCACTTCCCTCACCCTGATGGCGTGGCCTTTTAGCTGGTGAATGAAATTCAAAAGCAAAAGGGGTCAAGGGTTTTCAAGGACATAGAAATGCAACTTAAGCATGGGTCCTGGTTGACTGGCTAAGAGGTATCAACACTAACCCATTTCCTTTGAAGTAAAGAAATTTCCATTTATAGAAGGAAGGAGCTATCTTTAAAATATTAATACCCTTCCCTATTTTCTAATAGCTCAAATCAAAAAATAAAAAACTAACTAGGACTCACCTCTCTGTATTTAAGAAACACAATTTTCAGAAAAACTGTGCTTACTTTCTGTAACCACACATGGTCGGAAAAAGAAAACACACACCCACACACACACACACTCCATAATGTTCTCAAGGCACAACAACCATATAGCAAGTGTGTTCTACTCTAATCAGAGTTCCTTCCAGAGAGAGTAATTAATTAAATCCTTCTCAACATCCACTTAAAACAAATGCTATGTACTCAGAGGAGATATCCACAAACATCAAGGGACACAGATTATTCTTATTTTAAATCTTACTAAAATCCAAAGTCTTTAAGTATTTTTTCTGATCTTCTTTACCAATTCAGCAAAACTCAGAACAGTCCTCCAGCTCCAGAACAATTCACCCTAACACAGTATTTCAGATCTGACTTATAGGACAAGATTCAAAGTCATGTGGTCCTTCTCCAGGGATGGGGGACTCCATTACTCTGTAATTGGACCCATTTCGCTCTATTTCTGCCTCATTCTGCCCATAAGTGATTCCCAGCAAACAGAGATGCTGACAACCAACCAGTGGTGTGATCTGAGATCCCATCTGTCTATGGACTGGAAGGCACTGCTATATTTCATGTACAGTGGAAGGAGGAAGATCTTGGTCAGGCAAAGAGCTCTGGGTAGAAACATAAAATCGGATACTAAGGGTTCCTGGGTCAATCTCTATGCTCTCCAAATTTTTCATTCCATTTTTGGGCATGCTTCTTTCTCTATTTTGCAGAACCAACTGTGCAGTGAGAAGGGGTTTCCACTGGCTACCTCCATTTTCATTGCAGCAAGGACGCAGCGGGTCACAACACAAACCAGCATACTCACCGTCCCACCCCTACTTGGCATCCAAACAGGCCCAATAATCTGGACTCACGTATGTTATTGAGGTCAGGAATGGGGAAAGGCTGACATGCAGTCTAGCCCTGCCAAGGCAGCTGCAGGAGGGATGCAACAGCCAATCAATCTACAGCAGGTTAATTTTTAGAGGTTGACAGTTTTGTATGACTTGGGAATGACAGAAATATTCAAACAGCCCTTGGCAGAAAAAAGGTTCCTTACCCCAACCTAGGACCTTGCTACTTTACTAGCTCTCTCCTAGACATCAGATACAACGAAAGATGTAAGACAAGGAGTGGGGAAACTTTGCCTGTGAAAGGATCAGATAGTAAATACTTTCAGCAACAGTGGCTTCCACCGTGACTACACATGCAACTCAAGTATTACAACACACAGAGTAACCAAGCCAACAGGCACAGGAATGAGCATGGCTGGGTTCCAATGAAGGTTTAAGTGTAGATGCTAAAATCTGAATTTCTTAAATTTTCACACATCATGAGATATACTATTCTTTGAGATTTCTGATCTTAAAAATAGCAGAGTATTCTTAGCTCACAGACAAAATATGTACTGCTTCGTATTTGGCCCACAGGTTGTAGTTTCGCAAACTCCTGAATTAGAGGAGTCTATCACTAGAATCAGAAGCCAGGAGACTCTGGTGACTTCTGACAAATACTACAATAATTGCATTCTTCAATTAATGGCACATGCATTCAACCAGAGCCCAAGAGCATAGGCTACTGGGGCCTAAGTGAGACAGAGAGAAGGTCTTTCTTCCGTTGGCTCACACTCCAAAAAGCCACAACAGCCACAGTTGAGCCAATGTAAATCTAGGAGCCAGGCGTCTTCTCCTAGGTCTCCGACATGGGTGCAGGTCCCAAGGCTGTGGGCCATCATCCACTGTTTTCCCAGGTCTCAAGCAGGGAGCTGGATGGGAAGTGAAGTAGTTAGGACATGAACCAACATCCAAATGCGATGCTGGTGTTTGTAGGTGGAGGATTAGACAGTTGTGTCTCTGTGCCAGCCCCACAAATCCCCTTTTTAACAAAAATAAAGAGAAATTCATTGTTTTCATGAGGTGTCCCAAGTTTTTGCTCTTCACTCAAGTTCAATGTAGATTGGGTTTTCAAAGAGTATGTCAACCTTCACTAGCATGTAAGTTACTACACAACACAAGGTGAAGACCATATAGGACTACAGTAACTCAGAATATCTACAGGGAGGGCCTTCCTGAATGCAGATCCATCAAGAATAGGGGTGGCTGGACCCAGATTTCCCAATGACCCTGCTAAAAACAGAGTCTAAGCTTCCGGTTTCAGTAGATCTGGGCCAGAGCCCAATCAGGAAGCCATTGCACTAAAGAAGCAACTATGGCTTGTGGAAGTGCCAAGGAAGATTAGCATGCAAGCAGCTACAGCTGAAAGTGGCTTTCCAAACGGTGAGAGAAAGCTCATTGACCTAGCGTAGTGCTGGCTTCAGCAAGTAGACAAAATCTTATGGATGGAATTGTATCCTCCCAAAAAGTGTTTGTTGTGTCCCCAACCCACCCAGTACCTCAGAGTGTGACTTTACATGGAAACAGAATCACCATGTGAACCATGCAAAAAGGCAGAGAAGGAGAATTCAAACAAACCTATCTCTCATGGCCCTTCGAAGAAGCCAACCCTGCAGACAACTTAAGCTCAAACTTGCAGACCCTGGATCCATAAGATAGTACATCTCTGTCATTTACACCTCCCAGGTTATGAAACTGTGTTATAACAGGCCCCCAAACAAGTGCACTGAAGACCACGGGGAAATGAATTACCCGGAAGGTTCTGAATATTGAAACAGAAACCCTGGATTTCTTCAAGTTCTCTATCGGAAGCTTGAATCGTAAAGGTAAAATCTGGGCATTTAATGCACTTACAAAACAGCTGCAGAATGACATTAGGCTTGCCATCAGGTTTGCAGTACCCAAGTGAGTGCTCCAAAGGCCCTCTGACAGCACCTGGAAATCCTCGACGACCTTTCTAGCAACTCTGGCTAACCAGCAGCTGATAAGCTGTTATTTCTTTCAGACTGCCCTGTTATCATAATCTCCAAATTCTATATTGCACCTATTCCAAATTCATTTCACAAAATAAACAGGGGACTTCTTCCGGCAGAAAGTCAGCTTGTTTTCTGTCGTCACTATCCTAAGATCACTTCAGTCCTGACTCACTGATAAGACAACCTGGCCAGCTAACTTTTTTTCATGCTTACTCATTCGTTGCTTTTATCTTTTCAAATGGATTTTAAAGAACAAAAGGTACTGAGTAGACAGAGAGGTAGTGAAACAACGCTACTTAAAAAAAACCAAAACAAAACTGATCATGAAAAAATCCATTCTTTTGCTTAAAACTGCATTGCACAATTTCAATGCAATTTAGCTTTTGCTTGAAGTACCCTATAATGAGATTTGCTTTATGTCATGAAAATCAACTGCTCTGTGCCCAAGGCAGTATTTTATTTTGCTGAGTCACCACCAAAATCAGGTTGGCAGTTGAGACAGTTGAGACAGGTTTCACTGCAATGTACTGGAACAAAAGTTTCTGGATGCCTTTGGAGGGCACCCAGCTTGTGACTGTCCCTAGGGCAGAAAAAACAGTACCAGCTGTTGAGCAGGAACATGACCCTCTCTAACAAAGACAATGTGCAAATTCCTGGGAAAGTCAAGCTTTCCTACACTCCGCAGTTCCCAGCACGAAGCTCAAAACCACATTAAACTCCAGGGTGAATATGCTATGAAAATATGTCCCAACTAAAAGCATAAATAGAAGGATATTTTGTACTCCCAGGAGGCCTAAAGAAACACACCTGAGCTTACCTACTCAGTGGGTTAAAAACTCTTCATTTGTAGCACTAAGCTCTCTTAATAAGTCAGATGTACCAGCCATATTCATAAACCAATGCTAAGTTCCTCCGACAGATTCATGCTCCTGCATATTTATTAGACACATTCAGCTCCCGCAAGTAAGCTCTGCTAGAGATAGAAACTACAGTCAAGTATAAATTAAATAAGACGTATTAATGTCTTCCAAGAATCTATGCCATAAAACAGGACTCCGAACCATACAGTAAACTATGGCTTCTGGACAGAGGTCGACTCAATTTAGAACACTATTAAAAAGAAAATAAAATGTGTTTAAAAGAGTTTTGCATCAGTGAAGGCTGAATCATCATGGGGATTGAATCAGCAGCGAGGGCTGAGTCACCGGGGGAGGATGGCTGAATCGTGCCGCTGTGTTCTGATGTTCTAGCCCAGTTTAAAGCTTGGCGTGAAAATAGCAAATCACTCAAGTGAGAGAGAACATCTCAACTTTAAGACATTTATTAAGGAAAAAGCGAGGAAGAAAGCTTAGTGCTAACAGCAGGAGCCCATTACTTTTAGTCAGACATCACAGTTCGCCTTAGTCAGGGGATATGGAAATGACAAAGATATTTGCAATAGGCAAGTCATCTAAATATTTTTCATGTCTCCAGCACTCAAGAATGAATTACCCTGAAGGAAAGGTGAACTTATCACTTCTATTCAAAAGCTAGTGAAAGGTGGATGCAGCACAGAAATCGTAAATAAAAACAGGAGCTTTTCCACCTTAAGCCCTCAATGCCTATTGGCACAAAGGCCAAACGTGGGCAAGAAACAGCTCCTGGATGTTCCTTGCTAGCAAAAAAGGAAAAAGAATATTCCTTCCTTACCGCTCCGGCTTTTTTTCTGGTGGTACCCAGGCAGCAGAATCCAACATCGTGACCTTGGAAGGCAGAAGCATAGTCATCCAGCTTCTCAAAGTCCACCACTTCTTGATTCTAGACAAGGGCACAGTTGTATTAACGTAAAAACATGCAATCATCTTAGATCTAAAAAACAGATTACAGTTATTATTGATGGGTTTGTCTACTTAACAAGTTTATGTTTTGCCTACCCAGAAGCAGTATTACAGTGAATTTTAAATTAAACATGCAAAGGTACATGTACTAGAACACTGCAAAAAGTTCATGGAAAGGAGTGTTAGAAAAATTCAGTGCACACATTTTTTATAAACTCTTACATAGGACAGGTCTTCAAAAAGGTCACAGAGGGCTGGGCCCGGTAGCGTGGCCTAGCAGCTAAACTCCTCACCTTGAACTCGCCGGGATCCCATATGGGCGCCGGTTCTAATCCCCACAGCTCCACTTCCCATCCAGCTCCCTACTTGTGGCCTGGCCCAAAGCTTTGGGACCCTGCACCCACGTGGGATACCCAGAAGAGGTTCCTGGATCCTGACTTCAGATCAGCCTAGCATCGGCCATTGCGCACACTTGGGGAGTGAATCATTGGAGAGAAGATCTTCCTCTCTGTCTCTCCTCCTCTCTGTATATCTGACTTTCCAATAAATAAATAAATCTTTTTTTTTTAAAAAAAAAAAAAGGTCACAGAGGGGCCATGATTACAGAACAGTGGGTTGTCACTTGGGATGCTGGCATCCCACACTGGAATGCCAGTTTGAGGCCTGGCTATTCTACTTCTAAATCCTGCTTCCTGCTAATGTGCCTGGGAAGACAGCAAATGATGGCCCAAGTGTTTAGGCCCCATCACCCAGGTAGGAAAGCAGATTCTGGCTCCTCAGTTGTTCTGGCTCTCAGTTTAGCCTGGACCAAAACAGGCTGTGATAGCCTTTTAAGAAGTGAATCTAAGGATGTTAGATGTCTCTCTTCCTCTTTCTCTCTCTCCTATAGCTCTATTTCTCACATAAAAAAATAATAAATATATATATATGCATATATATATATATAATGAAGAAACTGTGCATGGATTTTAAAATACTTTTGCATCAGCATAAACTTTTAACTGCATTTTCCCATGAACTTTAATGTACCTGTGAGTTTACTTATCCAGATTTCTAAAGCTAAGTTTAATTATAATTTCTCTATGGAAATATAAAGACCTGCCTATAAGTTAGCAAAGCAGAGACCACTGAAGCACAATGCAAGGACAGAACAGTGTCTGGAATCTAAGTTCATGTATTGGGCCTGCAACTTAGAAGCCATGTGCTTGTGGCCAAGTTATTGAGTCTGTACGCTTTAGGGTTTGGTGTTCTGTTTTGTTTTGTTTTTGATGTGAAATGTGGATGACAATCTTTCCTTTGGTCCAATCCAGAAACCCACCTGCAACAGACTCAGCCAGGGGGTATTTGGTAAGCACGCATATTCCTGGCTCCCAGAACTGAACTCGGGAAACAGAATCTGCACTTTTAACAAACGTTCACAGTGATTCTCCTGCACACTGAAGTTTAAGACCCACCATCTAACCTTGTAAGTTTGCAAGAAAGCTTAAAAACAGAAAATCTGATACATTCCATCATTCATGAGTTCAAAAATGTGGGTTTCCTTTACTACAAAAGAATGTTCCTAGCAACTGCATAATGCTGAAGAAATACATGTCAAAGAAGTGACATGAAAAGTTGATTCTCAAAGCAGAGATTTCAATTTCAGGTTCTAATGAACAGTATTTGGTACAGTCCTGTAGTAAACAGGAAAGCCCTGATGGACCAGAAACATTCTTGAACCTGCCAGGTTCAAGAACACGTCCTGTGAGCTTACTTTTTATCTCGGATACCTGTGAAGGGACACATTTGGCAGTGGTGGCATCTCAGGATAACATGATTTTCTTTAATCTATTCAATAACCCAGCTGACAGTACAAAACTCCACGCAGCTCTCCCTTCACCTATCCAGGCAGTTAGCACCAGAGGAAAGCTTGTTGTGTGTATCATTTGCTTCATTGCCAAAGCATGGAATCACTTACAGACACAAGCCTTGGAAGGCAGGCAGGGCAAACTGTGGCAAGGGAAAATTAACCCACCTGTCACTTCCCTAGACCCATTGCACTTTGCTTTACTGACAACACCAATGTGAAGTGCACAGGCAGACAAAATAAGCAAAGTGGTCCACGAAATGGCCACAGCAATGGAAACGCCTCTATAATCCAGCCAGAGATTATGAACCAGAAAACAAGGCTCTTCTCTCTTGCCAGGGTGATCACAACAAGCCAGGACACAGCCTCACAGTGTTCTAGCCTGAGAGAAGGGCCATGAGAGGCAGGCTGAGGTGGGCCTCCAAGTAGCTAAGGCTTCCAGGAGGAACTCTCACAGGTCAGTAAGGGAAGAACTGTGACCGCCTCTCACCACCTCCATCACCAGACCAGCGCGGTTCAGCCCTCAGGGATGACATCACTTGACCAGGCACTATCGACAGGTGCATATCTTTGTCCCAGCTCCAATACCCACCACATTTTTATACGCTTCCTCATCGAAGGTGAGCTTCCTCCGGCCAATGAGGGTGACTCGAGAAAACAATTTCTGGTCCAGGATTTCTTTTAAGAGCACTTTGCCGGTTTCCCCGCTGGCTCCCAGAATAAAGACAGATTTATTCTGCATTCTGAAGTCTTCCCGAAGCTTCGGCAGCTCCTCTGCCTCGGCCATGCTGGGAAAATAACAACAGAGAGGAGCTGCTCTGAGCAAGGGCCGGCGCGGTCTTACCCGTGATACAAGGGCTGGGTAAATGTAGGAACGATATCATTTATCTCCCCAGCTGCGCCCATGGGAAAGTGCTGAGTCACCTGCGGGGTCCTGCACCTGGGCCAACAGGTATCCGCAGGGTGCGCCCAGGTGACACAAACTGCACCACAGTAGCCCCAACCCCGGCAGGAGTGTCCCCTACCCGGAGGGATTCCCGGGGACTGCCCCCGGTCCCGCGTCCTCACTCGGCCACAGGAGCAACGCGGCCACCAGCGCGGTCACCGCTGCGCCCAGTGCCGCGAGCCCAGGCATCCGGCTCGGCCTGCTTCCCGAGGCCTCCCCACCGCGGCTCAGCACCGGGGGTCGTCAGCACCGGGGGTCGGGGACAACACGCCCGCGCCTACCGGCCTCCGTCTTCCGGGTGACTTCTCCCCCACCGCCCCGCCTTCAGGGGCGGGACCTGGAGCCGGACGCTTGGGGCGCGCGGGACGCGGGGAGGTGGCACGTGCTCCGCCCTGGGTGGTGGTTACCCCCTGAAACTTTGTACCTCACTGTGAAAATCCCCAGGACCCGACTCCTCCTTCCTCACCAGTGGGCTCAGCTCACATCTGCCCAGCCATCGGGGATGACCTTGACTGATCACCAAGCTGTCATTTTAGTTGTCTATCAAACGTCTTCATCTCAAGTCTACCAGGTTAAAATCTTAACGCTCCCCATCTAGCCATCCAAACATCTTTCCCCTCTGACGTCAGAAAGAGGGCGATCCTCTGCCGCCTCTTTCCTAGCCATGTGGCTACCCAGATTAATCACAAACTCCTGTCTACCTTCCAAATAGTTCTCCTAGGCACTTCAACCTCTGGCCACACCTGGCCGGTTGACCTGGTCATCCAGGCCCCACCCTCTGAGATAGAAACACAAAGAAGTCTCCCATCTGCTAATTCACTACCACATGTCTACACTAGCGGGGCTGGGCAAGGTCAAAGCCAGGAGCTGAGAACTCCATCCAGGTCTCCCATGTGAGCAAAGCAGCGATCCAAACATGTGAGCCATCCCTGCTACCTCTCAGGGCACACACCAGCAAAAAGCTAGACTTGAAATCGGGGCAGAGACTCAAATCCAGGTACTCTGATTTGGGATATAGATAGTCCACTAGCATCTTGACAACTAGGCTCGGTTTGACTTGACCCCTTTCAGGGGAGTAGCACAGTGGAAGCCTGAGCTGTGGGGCCTGGGTGGAAGTGTAATAGGATGACACCCACTGAGACCTGCCAGGGGTCCCACATGTGATCTAATCCAGGCTCTGCCCCCATGATTCCTGCCTGCTTTCACAGCCTGCTCGAAACACGTTCTAGAATTTAAAATTTCTGTTATTTAGGGTATGCTAATGCTTTTTCTCTTTAATGTTCTTTAAAAAATATTTTGTTATTTTTATTGAAAGGGCAGAGTTACAGAGAGAGAGAGATCTTCCATCTGCTAGTTTACTTGCCAAATGGCTACAATGGCAAGAGCTGGGCCAATCCAAAGCCAGGAGCTTCCTCCTAGTCTCCCACGTGGGTGCAGGGATTCAAGGACTTGAGCCATCCTCTGCTGCTTTGCTAGGCCATAAGCAGAAAGCTGGATTGGAAATGGAGCAGCCAGAACACCAACTGGCTCCCACATGGGAATATGAGCGCCACAGGTGGAGGCTTAACATACTATGCCACAGTGCATAGTATGTCCTTTTTTTTTTAATATAAGTCTTTGAGAGGCAGAGAAACAGAGAGGGGAGGGAGAAAGAAAGAAAGAGAATGTCTCTTTCTCTGGTCCACTCCCCAGATGCCTTAAAGGCTTGTGCCAGGACCAGCCAGGTGTCCAGAATTCAAGTCAGGTCTCCACATGAGTAGCAGATAGCCAGCCGATTGAGTCATTGTCTGCTACCTCCTCAGTTGGGCATTAGCAGGAAGGTGGGTGGGAAACAGAGACAGGACTCCATTCCACGCACTCTGACATGGAATGTGATGTCTTCACTAGCATCTTAACTACTAGGCCAAGCGCCTAAACCCAACTTCTCTGAATTGTGACATAAGGACTGCACAATGAAGCACACAGATCCACAGATCCTGGATTTCAGAGAACTGTGTATGCACATAGGAAAGGATCACCACAAACAAGATATTGAACAAGTCTGTCAACCCAAAAATACTACTGCTTTTTGGTTGCTAATAACCTAGATTAGTTTTGCCTGTTCTAGAACTTCATTGCAATGAAATCATAGTGCAAAGATTTGCTAGTTTGTGTCACTGTTTTTCTAAATATGTTTTAATATTTATCCTTCTGACTTTGGCTCCTGTTATTACAACCCAGGGGATAAAATTGAGTGGTCCTAGGTCTGGAATGATGGCCCAATTGACTAATCCTCCATCTGTCAGTGCTGGCATCCCATATGAGTGCTGGTTCATGTCTCCATGCTCCACTTACCATTTAGCCCCCTGCTATGGCCTGGTAAAGCATGGAGGATGGCTCATAGCCTTGGAACTCTGAACCCATGTGGGAGACCTGGAAGAAGCTCCTGGCTCCTGGCTTCAAATTGAGTCAGCTTCAGTGGTTGTGGCCATTTGGGGAGTGAACCAGCAGACAGAAGATTTTTCTCTTTGCTTCACCTTTTCTCTGCAAATCTGATCTGCCTTCCGAATAAAAATAAATAAATGTTTTTTAAAAAGTTGCATGAGCCTAACAGTCTCCATGGCTGAGATTGTGGGACAAGGCAGTGTCTTCACAGAAGTAGAGTTCATTGTTATGGTAAGAAAGGAGAGTGGATGTGAGGTAGCACATACAGTGGCCATGATCCTTCCCTGTGACATTATCCCTCTTGCTCTTAATCTATGTGCTGTGTACTTTTTTGCAAAGGACAGCTGTAAACCAATGTGTCATAACTGACATATCTGATTGGGCAGAGGCTGGATTTAGTAGCGATAATTGTCTGAAAATAAATATTATAATATTTCCCAGTCACCGAACAAATACAACCAAGAATTGCATCCAGCAATACTGGCATCTGATTGAATGTGTCTACCGTGTTCTCAGCAGTACTCCTTCCTTTTCCAAGTTGTGAGAGGGGAAAGCTTTTGCACGTGTGTGTATATTTCCCACCTCTGTGCAAACTTCATTATTGAGATTAAGGAGTAAGGGATGTATCTGTGAAGCTTATGACCTAGGAGCATAGAGTTAAGCTTTAGTGCCAGGAAAAGAACTTGGATATCCAGATCAATGACAAAATCATTAGCAATAGCTACCCAGTTTAGAATTTTCTTCAGGAATACATTATTCTTGGTTTTAGCAGATAGTGCCATACAGGGGGCACTTCAAAAGCTCTTTGAAAAGTGAAATTAAAATATGAGGTTAGAGTGTAGTGAGATAAAAATGCACTTGCATTTTTAACGAACCTTTTAAAGACCTCCTCATATTTTTCCATTCTTCAGCCTCCTGTCACTCCTAAGTGTTCTTTCACCAATCTATACTGAAGGAATAACATGTACAAAAGTACTGTGATAGACAGGAGTAAAATTGGTTTAGAGGAGTCCAAACACCAAGGAGGGATAGAAGCATGGGGCAGAGGTAGAAGATAGAAGACTGAACAGACAGGGTACCACATTGTAAAGAACTTCAGAAGATAAATGATCATCTATAAAAATTATTTAATTCAAATTTTCAAAATTTAGTAAACTTGTTTCTTTTTACTATATTGCTTTTCAGTTTCCTTCTGTGCCATACAACATGTCACAATGTTAATTACTATTGACACATTGGTCTTCCATCCATTGGTTCACTCTCCAAATATCTCCAAAGCCAGAGCTGGGTAGGTCCGAAGTTAGGATCCAGGAGCTTCTTCTGGGTCTCCCAAGTGGATGCAGGGGCCCAAGGATGGGAACTATTCCCCATTGCTTTCCCAGGCCATCAGCATAGAGCTGCAACTGAAATGGAACAGCCAGGACATGAACTGGTACCCCCGTATGGCATGATAGTGCCACAGGCATTGGATTAGTCTGCACTGGCCAGTGTATAGGGACACAGGATAAGGCAAATTCACTAAGATCCTCTCAGTAGGAAACACTGGCCATTTTTCATTTACCTCTCAGGTCCATTTTCCACCTTTGCACCTTGTTTTGTAACCCCTACAGCCTGCATCATGCTTGTCCTCTAGCTTCTTGTTGGACCTGGCCAAAAGCAAGCACGAGCAGGTGACTGAAAGTGGGAATTGATTAGAATCTTTATTCTGCTTGCACGTCTCCCTGCGGGTTGCTGGGTATCTGGCCCTTTTCCAAGAGTTGTAACTCTTGCCTGTCAGCTCTCTCTTAGAGATATGATACTCTGGCTGGGCTCCAGTTACCACCTCCTCACAGAGACATAGTAGGTAGTAATGGTCTTCTGCTACTACTAGAACTGAGACAGGCACCATTCTTCCTGGATTTTCTTTAACCCTTCCCGAGCCCTTGTAAATCTTCCCTGCCTGAAATGCCTTCGGATATTCCCTTGGGCACATGCCTTCTGTTTTCTGCCAGGATCTTCACTGATGTGGCTAATGTCATAGAAAGAATGAACTTTGGAGCAAATAGAAGTAGATTTGAATCTTCATTAGTCACTTCCTGGCTGTGTGACCTTGGCCAAGTTCAAGTGGATAAGCACAGTATTTATGAACGCCTAAGACTCTAGTCTGTGAGGTCAAATATCAAAACTAGCTCCCTGCTCCAGCCCCAAGTCCTGGGGCACTGTTTGACACTTAGTAGGTGTTCAAGAAAAATATTTACATGGTGAATTTTCATATCTTAAGCCTGAGCCTGAGAAGGAGAAGCCACATGGTCCCTTTGACAGTGTTCAGACTTACATAAGCTGTCTGATGATAACCTGTGAAATAATGGGCTTCAGACATACTCTTCAATGAAGCAGCAGAGAGAAGGGTAGAGGGTGGCAAAACAAGAACATTACAACAAGAGAAAAAAACAGCAATAATTCACTAGCAGAGGGCCTCCTGTTTGTTTATACCACTCACATGTCCTTGGAGAGCTTTTCTCCTTCCCCAATATCATCTCATCTCACAAGACAATTCCATTCCAGGAGGAAATCCTGTCGAGCCAGCATGTCCTGTTTGCAATGCACAGGAAGCAACATGAAAGAAGGCATAGAAAGAAACTTGGGAGTCCCCAGACAGGGTCAGGGAAGGAGAACCCAGATAGACAGAAGGTTTGTGCCAAATAGACTTAGCAGGGAAGCCACAGGAGTCTGGAGCAGAGGTGCTCAGAGATATATTTGTTTCCCAGGGCAGTGAACACAAACTGGCACAAACTTACAATACAAAGTTATTCTCCCACAGTTCCAAGGTTGGAAATAAATT